CAACAACTCAATCAATGAATCAAATTTTGTCACAGTAAGGTACATTAAATCCTATTTAAAAAAAATCTAAGTTATTCTACGTAAATCCACCTTATTATAATCATTCAACTATTTATGATTACAATCAATCAATCAAAACTCAATTATTGATTACAATTATTAATGAAATTGTCAAATATGAAAATAAAGTAAAATTGCAAAAGATATAAAAATAAATTCACGAATAATATGTCAATAACTATTGGCAAATAATTACGTCAATGAGTAAAAAGTACTATTTGTTATAAAAGCTAACCGTTGTCTTCTATATTCATTAAAATTATTGATCAATCTAATCTGTTTTCGCAAATGATTATAAATTTTTGGCGCCATGAAATATGCAGCTTTACTAAATAGCGTAGTTCTGTGTTATTTTGTACACAACTTATCGCAGTGACGTGCTCGTGCAACGTTCTAAAACTTTTTAGGATGTTCTTTGATAAAAATTGAAACTCATGAGATGATACACATCGTCGGCTTAATTTAAAAATCGCGTAAGACCGTTTTTGGAGGAAATCTCTTTTTTGCTCTTCAAGCACAATATCGGACAATTAAAGCTTAAATATAATTTGTAGACCCTGTTTTAGTTATAAACTAAAGGTTTCTAGTTATTATACTTTGTCGAGTATATTTTTTGTGGTAGTATTTGTGTCTATAATTGCGCTAGTGTTATTTATTTGATTAAATTTGTGCGGAAGGAGAGCGGGAAAATTAACTGCATGGAAAAAATATTCAACAAAAGCGCAGCTATTTAGCACGAATTAATCTTCACTGGGTTCGCGGCGTAGTAATTTAATTTACTTCCATTTAATATAAGAACAGCAAATCACCGACTTTAAAGAAATAATGACAATATTACAATTTTACACGATTAGATTGTCAGAGACACTTCTAACCTTCAATTTGGATTGGAGTCATTGACATTAGTCAATGAGCAAGAAGCGACTCAACACACTGTTTAACACCTGTTTTACAGTTCTTGTTTGCAACTGTGCTATTTCTGTGACTCTATCGTAGTTCCGTATTTCCCGTCTTGCAATTCATTGATTTTGGACGCATGAAACGGGACAGAAAATCGGTATTCTTCATTGGCGTGAAAAAGATAGATGCTCAGTATATGGTATTTCATATGGGGTTAGGAAGGCGCCACAGGTAGGGTTACTTCGCCAGAGTATTGGAGGATTTTTTATTTAAAACAAGTGGATGTGGAGTACGTTGAATGAATAAAATAATGCTAAAATGTCGTTCATAATCAACGTTTCAACTGATGTGCGGCGAAGACACAACACTTCAATATCATAGGATAATAAACAACAGAGTGCTCTGACTACACAATGACAGAGTAGGGATAATATGAAAAAATAGTTACTATGGTTACCACATATAAATTTAAAAAATGTAAATAAAGACTAGGCTAAATAGCTTTGCCTTTCCGCAAGGACAAGTACATAACTTCAATAATTTCAACATCTCGACTGTATTTTTGTCTTTTATTTAATTTGTTTTTCATTTTAGAATACAATAATTATGAATAATAAGCGGATTGCCCCTGGGTCAAAGCACATTGAAATGTATTGTGCAACCAATAGCGACTTTGCTGGCAAAAAACCCCTGGGGGTTTTATGTTCACTTCTCAACTATGAATAAATATCATTGGTAAACAGTCAATATTATCTACCTGCCTAGCTCATTACCTATAGGTATAGACTATAGACTGTTACGTCTGTACACGGTACTGCGGTACTGATACTCTTTGACGAAATTCAACACTAAAACAAAGCACTATCACTATTGATCGTGTTTTGTTTGGAACAGTTTGGAACAGTTGCTGTGAGTGTATTTATCTATAGGTTGATGTCGTTGTTTATTATTGAGGTAATTTAAAAATGCACTTAAAAATAAAAATGTGAATATTTCCCACTCTGCCATGCTTTATGTTAAATGTTACTTAACTCAGCAACCTTGTGTTTTATCTTAAAATATTTTCCTATTAAACCACAAAATTAAAAGTTTAATTTCAGTGTAAAAGAATAAATATAAACAGATAATATATGGACACATAAGGTCAATAAGCAAAAACATAAAAGCATATTGAAGCTAATTAGTTACTAAGGCATTATTACATTATATATACTTAGATACAGTACAGAAATGAAATCGGTTAACAAGTCAGTATAACAATAAAGGCAAACTCAAACTTATGTAATTACGCTCAAACCTTCTAGACACTCAGATACAGAAGTGAAATGGTTAAATTGTTAAATCTCTACTTTCATTTTATCACAGTGAAAGGCTTGTGCTTGGATTATAGGCTTCTATTATTTAATGGTGTGATGAACAGGAATGACAATGGACTAATTAGTATTTCAGTAGTGAGCCATTTATTCAAGTCTTCCAAACCAGGTTTAATGCAGCTTCTACAGGTTGTCCCACGGCTATGGGGCACGGAGGGAAGGTAAATATTGTAAATAGAATAATTTCCTCAACGTCAAAGGTGCTTTTATTACAAGAAAGTAAAAAAAAAACACGAAGTACATTAAACAAATTGTTGTAACAATATGTTGAATTTTATAAACTCTCATATTAAAGGAAAACCAACTTATTAATTAATTTTGTCTACAATAAGCTTTGTTCGGAAATAAGGAATTTAATTTAGTTAAACTAAAGAATAATGTAGACTTTCCCTTCTACGAATCCCGTGATTTCTCGGAACTAATTATATTTGAATATGCCTATTATTTATTGAAATTTGTACAGTACATTGCATTGGCGACAAATTATTATTTATTTCCTGTTAAATATTTGCTACCAATTATTATGTTAAAAAGAAATAAAATGTCGTTGTGTTTCAATACGTACTTACATATTTAAAACATTAGCCATTTATAAAATAAACAAGAGACAACCTATATTATGGAATGTTTAGAAAATAAACTGTATAAAAAGAAATTTCTTTGATGACGAAATGGCTATATCTGTACTAAGAAAACGTTCATATTTTATGTAAATTAACTCCCTAAATTCCGATCACTGATAATAAGCCTCTCTCCTGAAAAGTTGTATATGGCCTTGTTACACTAAGAGTGGTTATACACTGCGAGTTTTAGCAGCGATCCAATCGCCTATAAATCCCAAGTGTAGCGATACGTGCAATCGCGCGTTTGTATCGATGCAGTCGCGCGTTTGGTTCGCGTTTGCATCGCTGCTTAAAATTGCGTGCATGTGTAAAGGTAGACGATTAGCGACTGCATCGCGTTTGCATCGCCGTATTTAACCGCTCGAAGAGTGCGATATATCGATTTAGTGCTCATCATCGTTTGCTCATTGTTTACGCTTCAATTATCAAAATTTCCGCATATTAATAACCGTCACTCAAGATTGAAGCTAAGGTTCAAGATCGTAAATCACTCAAGTGCAGCAATTCGATAACTCGAGACGGCATTGTCGTACAAAAACTTTATATTAGTACATTTCCTTTCAAATCAATTTCGTTTTATCCATCCTCCAGTAGAACTTCGTTAAAGAAATTATACATTTACTTTATTGTATAATGAACAGTATTGATTCATTTGACTATCTCTGTTAACTCAGGTGGTTAGCCGCTCACGCGATGCGCTCATCCTACCGCAAAATGGCGGCTATTTGGTTTCGCAAATTAGAAAAGGATTCAGTTTAAATACAAGTTTTTAAAAATAAAAATTATTGTTCTGCATTGCTAAATAAATACCCTCCGTGCTACAATAAAAACGTCTCAAATAAAATGCAGTAATACACCGCAAATCCTGCACTTAAAAAGCATTAATGAAATTTTTGGTGTACTTGGGTAAATATGATAATACTCCGTTTGAGTGGTTCTAATGTTTACCATGAAATTACTCCTTAAAGTATAGTTTATAAACATTTATATTCAGGGTAAACTTAAAAAACGCAACTTACGGTATGTTTTCAATAAATAAACACCGACATCACCAGCCCAAACAATAACACACACGATTGTCGTGACGTATTTTTGAAGTTGTTTATTTTTTTTAAATGACAGACCCAGACATTAAAAACTTTATGGTTTGCTAGAGTAGTTAACGAAATAGCAATTAGTATTAGTTCTTTTACCTGTTATAACTTCGATATCCGATAAATCGGTATAAAATCATCACCGGCACCTCTAGGTGTGGTATGCTTCCAGAGACGCATGAATCGCGTGAGCGGTTAGCACTGTATCAGCGGTAGAGCTTCTTGTGAAAGAGTTCGTCCAGGGCCGCCAAGCAAGTAATACCTTACCGCCCGGCGCACGACTCATTCATCCTAAAATGAAATGAAATGAAATTTTATTTGCTTAAAACATGGTGTGAAAGATGGAACGATTATTACAGAACACATGTTTTACCTGACTAGGCATGCAAAATGTTGCTTAAATTTAGTTTAATTGTAGCATTGTTATCGGACGTGTACAAGGAAAAATCAATTAATTAATTAATAACAACAGAATAATATAAACTATCAATGACAAATTATTAAATATGTTAGGGTCCTAAGAGACGTGAAATAAAAGTGGACTGTATTACAATAGGACTGGTATATTCGCCGTCTCAATCACACGTGTACTCGTTTGTAATAAATGAATAGGGGTCGACCGTCGCCGGTGACTGTCGATAAGGCGCTGCGCCGCTGCCGCTCGCCGTGACGTCACGCTCGCCGTGTCTCGTGCCGAGCGGCTATAAGACCGGTTCGCAACATGCTCCCCGGGTTGAAGTGTGAAGACTTCAAAGAACTGGAAGAGGGCAAATATTATTAAAGGCTCTACGTATGGTGCCTCTCTTAGTTTTTAACTCCGCGACTCTAGTGACTCCATCGCTGCCAGGGTAGAGCTGAGTGACTCGTCCTAAAGACCACAGTAGTTGTAGCAACGCCTTTTCTTTGACGAGAACAAGAGAGTCAAGTTTCAGCTCCTTAGTTGAAGTTCGTCATTTCGTCTTTTCTTGAAGCAATGTAACAACGTACTCCAAGGAAAAGCGCTTCCAAAAGTGTTGTTTCAGCAGCTCAATTCGTCTGAATCTCTCGATGCGGTTGATGTCCGTATCAGGAACCTGCGGCTGAGGAACGGACATAAGTGAGCGTCCAATTAAAAAGTGAGCAGGAGTGAGAGCGGAAAAATCTAAGGGATCAGTGGAAAGAGGGGTGAGGGGACGAGAATTTAGTACAGCCTCTATTTGAGTGAGGCATGTAGCCATCTCCTCATAGGTCAAATTAGTTAATGGTAACAAGCGTCTAAGGTGATGTTTTGTAGAACGAACGGCTGCTTCAGCTAAACCATTGAAATGGGGTGTATAAGCCGGCACGAATTTAAATTCGATGCCTTCTTGAGCAATGCGATCTTCTAGGTCAGACTGTACGAGGAATTGAGCTAGCTCGTTACAAGTACCAACGAAATTGGTACCGTTGTCAGACGTGATGCTTTCAGGCTTGCCGCGACGTGAAACAAAACGATTTAAGGCGGCTATGTACGCTTCACTAGATAGAGCCATAACGAGTTCGATTTGACAGGTTTAAATCGAATTGCAAATAAAGATTGCCCAAAAAGACTTTATTAGTTTGCAACCTCTATTCTTTCGGCCGGCAATTGTAAATAAATCTTTGAAAATAGACTCGGGTAGATCCTGTTTCACGCTAACGTTGGGCATTTTTGGCCAAAAAGCTTCATTTTTGATAAATAAGGTGGCCCCGACCACCATAACGATGAATCGCTGATAAGGTCAGCCTTCAGCCCTCGAGAAACAAGATCCGCCGGATTGTCCTTCGACGTATAACTCTCCGTGCTCTCCTGTATTCCATGCACACGGTTGCGAACAAAACTTTTAAGATTAGTAGGTGATGTATATAACCACCCTAATACAATCATTGAGTCACACCAGAATCTGCAAATGGCGATGGATACAGAGATAAAGCCGATAATACTTTGGTACACAGCCTAGCAGCCAGAAGAGCCCCGAGTAGTTCGAGACGAGGTATTGTTGTTGGCTTTATTGGCACTACTCTACTCTTCGAGATCAAGAGGTGCACCTTGACTGAACCTAAGGTATCTACGGAACGAATGAAGAGGCAAGCCCCAAACGCTCGTTCTGATGCGTCTGAAAAAACATGAATTTCATGGAAAACAGGGTCATTTGTAAAAACCCAGCGAGGAACCTGTAATCGGTTAAGAAGGGGTAACGTGTTGGCAAATCACAGCCATAGTTGTTGTATCTCTTGTGAGACCTCTTCATCCCATGAACATTGTTCGATCCACAACCACTGCATCATTTTGGCTTCGACAACACACGGTCCCACGAGGCCCAGTGGGTCGAAAATTTGACTGATGACTGAAAGTATGTGTCGCTTAGTTACCTTTTCACGAAGTTCAATATTTATAGAATACGATAGGATGTCTGAATCGCAGATCCAGTTTAAACCTAAAGTTTTTGATGAAGCATGAATGTCACTGTTTGAGATATCTAAGACGTTGTCTTATTGACAGAATAAAGGCGTAATTTGATGAAGAATTTCTAAACTATTTGACTGAAATTTTCTTAAATTGAATTTGGCGGTTTTTAAAGTAGTTATGACTCCTTTGCAAAGCTTCACAGTGTTTTCAATAGTTGACGAACCGCCTCAATAATCATCAACGTAAAAGTCACGTTGAATTGACTGTTTCACGTCACTATCGACAGCACTGGAAACCAAACTGACCAGACACTGAGCGGCTAAATAAGGCGCAGATGCTGTGCCATATGTCACTGTATTAAGCGTGTATGTTTTTAAAGGCTCTGATGAATCATACCTAAACACAATTGTTGAGAGAGCGTTGAGCGGGATTGAGTTCAATCGCTCTATACATTTTTTCTACGTCTCCGGTTACGACGTATTTGTGTTGACGAAAACATAATAATATAGAGTAAAGGTCTTCTTGTACAGTTGGACCGATCATCTGGATATCATTAAGTGACAAACCAGAGCTAGAAGTTGCAAGCATCAAAGACTGTACGAAGTTTTGTCGTAAGGCTGGACTCACGGATGACACAGCTAGAAGAAGGCTCCTTATTTTCGGTCATGTGACCTCGGCTTTCATATTCGTGCATGAACTCTATGTACCTATCTTTAAAGACAGGCTCTCTATGAAACTTACGCTCCAATGATAAAAAACGCTTCCTTGCCATTTGAAATGAATCGCCTAAGACTGAAGGATTCTCCTTCAGCGGCATAGTGACTATCCGCTCACGCGATACATGCAGCCATAGACGCATACCACACCAAGAGCTGCCGGTGATGATTTTATACCGATTTATCGGATATCGAAGTTATAACAGGTAAATGAACTAATATTAATTGCTATTTCGTTAACTACTCTAGCAAACCATAAAGTTTTTAATGCCTGGGTCTGTCATTTAAAAAAATTAACAACTTCAAAAACACGTCTCGACAATCGTGTGTGTTATTGTTTGGGCTGGTGATTTCGGTGTTTATTTATTGAAAACATACCGTAAGTATGTTACGCAACCCTAATACAAGTAATACGTCGAGTAAGCACCGCCCCAATTCAGTATGGACAACGACCCATTATTGCACGAGGCGCGGATGCAGCATAACGTGACCGGCTGACGACATCAATCACCTCATCGTGGCTATTTTAAAATTCATAAAAATTCATTCTTGTACCTACCATCGGTCGAGTCTCATATTTTTATTGTATTGTAATTTTAATTATACTTTATTAAATAAAATAAAATAAAATTGATTTTTTTGGATCTTCCGCTGCAAAACCACATAATTGGCGCAGTTGGTAGGATACCCGCGGGTCGGTATTGGGTATTTAGAGTAAAATCATCGCACTTTTACACCCCTAAGCCGCCCGAGCGGCTATCAAGTCGCGTTCCTGGTACTCGAACCTACAACGGATTGCAGCAGAAGAGAATTCAGACATCAATTCAACCAGAAAAAGATACCAGATATTATGTTGTAAGTACCTTGAATCTTTCAAGTTCTTGCTTCCTTTATTTCCTAGTGTTCTTTCCTTTATTCTTATTTTATTCCGTATCTATAAGTATTTGTGTAGACATTTTTTAGTAGTGTTAACGTAAATTTTCAATATTTTTCATCCGAAGGCTTCACGAAATAGTAGTTTAAGAAATAATAGGAATAGTTGGGTGGACGCGAATAGACGTATATCCGTAGATTACCGGGAAACTGATAAACTGGTGATGGCTGACGATCTAGACATTACCTTTAAATCCTTATACCAGTGCCCGCATTTGATGGCAATCTTCACGTTTTAACACGATTCATAAACATATGCGACCAACTGGTTATCGCGCATTTTAAAACGATTCCAGGGAATGAATTAAAAAATTTGGCCATTATTAATGGCATATTGAATAAAATCACGGGCCCTGCGTCCAGACTCTAGTGGGCTTCTTAGACTTAATTCTAGTGGGCTTCCGGAAAGTTGAAATGGTATACGAAAAGCTTTAATAAATAATTTCGCTGACCATCGTGACAAAACTGCACTATATAATTATTTATCTATGCAGACCCAAGAATCGAACAGTCGACAGGAGTTCTATGAACGGTGCCAAAATTTATGCAGTACCATAATGACATATGTCAGCCTCCACGAAAGCGTAGACACTACAATTGAAGCTAAGCGCACCCTTTATAAAAAACTGACTTTACAGGCATATCTACGCGGTTTGAAGGACCCGTTAAGGTGTAGGGTTAGATGCATGCGCGCAAAAATTAAGACAGGCCTTTTTATCTACCCACCTGAAGCTAAGTACGTAATAGTCCCAATTATACAAAAAACATTTAAAAATTCGGCTATGAATCTTATAATTTCTAAACGTGAATTAGAAAATGTTAGGGAATACTTAAGGCAACAAGACATAATCAATAAATACCATGATGGTAAAACCAACCATCGCGGCATTAACGAAACCTATCTAACATTATCTCATAAGTATTATTGGCCGAAAATGCGGGAGCAGATAGTGAAATTTATTAACGAATGCACGGTTTGCGGTCAAGCTAAATATGATCGCAACCCCATTAAACAACAGTACCGTATAGTTCCTCCAGCAACTAAGCCATTTGAGTTCGTTCATTTAGATTTATTAACGATTCAAAGTGAGAAATTCTTAACTATTGTAGATGCTTTTTCCAAATATACACAGGCCTATTACCTGAGAGACGGAACAGCTCTCAGCGTAATACAAGCATTATTAAGATACTGCACTCATCATTTAATACCTACAACTTTAGTAACGGATAATGGCCCCGAATTTAGTAACCAACTCTTTGCCGAATTCACGAGGTTATATAAGATACAACATCATTGTGTCGCACCTCACGCTCCTAACGAAAACGGAATCGTTGAGAGATTCCACTCAACCATTTTAGAACATATTCGAATCCTAAAAATTGATAAGAAATCCGAATCAGTAATAAACCTAATGCCGTACGCCCTTCTGGCTTATAGTGACACCATACACAGCTTCACTAAATGTAGACCGATTGAAGTGGTAACAGGTCACTTTGATCCCCGGGATCCCCTTGATATAGATCTCTCAGCACATCTATTACAACAGTATATAACTAATCACCGAGATAAGATGTGTAAAGTATATAATTTAATTCAGGAATCTGGTACCTCATGTCGACAGGAATTGACAGACAATCGAAATAAGGGTCGTGAACATGAAGTTGAGTGTTCCCCCAAGCAACAGGTTTTTGTACAGAACCCACTTGCGTCCCGTCAAAAACTTGCTCCTCGCTATACTAAGGATGTTGTTATGGCGGATCTACCTATTCATATATACACTAGGAAGAAACGTGGTCCTGTCGCTAAATCTCGACTAAAAAGGATACCTAAAAGCGCTCAATTGTTGCAGGATCCTCTTGACCCTTCCTGCAACCAGCTCTAACGCAGGAAATAAAACTTGAGAATCTGGATGATGGACCCGGTGTATTACCATTTAAATTAGGCCCCACTAATATTATATCCAGCTACCATTCGTTTTTGCAATATGTCAATTTCCAAGATCTACAGAATAAAATAAATTCCTTAAATAATCAACTATTTAATATAAGTCCTGACCTTAATAATAGTACATCTTCACTGTTCGAACCCCATGTTAACTATTTGAAAAGTAAACTAAAAACTTTATCTAAACAATTATTAACCTTTGAAACTAATCGTGTTAGAAGAGGACTTATTGACGGTTTAGGGTCTGTAGTGAAAAGTATAACAGGCAACCTCGATTATACGGACGCGTTGCATATGACAAAGTCATTAGAGATCTACAGAGTAAAGAAAATTCTATTATATCCGAACTAAATGGTCATGTAAGTTTGCCTAAAGAATGGTCATCTCAATATTCAAAAATTATCGATAGTATAGTCTCTAATCAAAATAAGAAGAATTGATCATGTATAAAATAAGAAATAGTGTAGCTACCAATGAATATGATTTAGTAAAGTACGCTCATTTAGCACAAGCATTTCTCATCATAGGAGATAATATAGATTTAGCATCTCAAGAGATAACAAAATTACAAAATAACCTGGCCTTCATTCGAAGTTCAACCATGAATCATTCCATTATTAGCCCAGACTCAATTCGAGATCTAAACAGTAAAGTCAAGGCGTTGTATGGCGAAGGCAGTATAATAGATTTAGAAATTAGAGAATATTATGATATAATTAAGTTAAGTTCTTATTACGTAGGAAATAGTATAGTAATAGTATATAAGTTTCCTATTATATTACCCCAAACCTATAATCTTTACAAATTATCTATTATACCCAATAAGAATCATGAGATCCTTACTCCGTT